GAAAAAAAAATTTTTTTTTGAGGCAGGTTCTTGCTATGTACGTCATTCAGGCTGGCCTTGAACTCACTATGTAGCCCAGGTTGGCCTGGAACATGCAGCAATCCTCCTGCCTCAGCCTCCAGGGTGCTGGGATTACAGGTGTGTGCCACCACGCTTGGTAAGAGAAGCTCCTGAGGCAGCTTGGTGTAGGGACCCTGAGCCTCAACTCTGGAGCCAGAGGGTCTGAGTTAAGATCCCAATGCTGCTTCTTCAGATTATGTGATTTGGAGCAAGTTGCTTTACCATTCTGAGTCTCATGCTCTTCTATAAATTGGAGTAATGGGCTTGTCTCCGAAAATTGCTGGGTGTTATGGTTCAGCTCTAACATGCCCCCTCAAATCTCACGTGTTCAGAGGTGGGGCTTTGGAAGGTGATCGCATCAAGGGTGAGCTGTAACCATCAGTGGATTAACGCATGGATGAGTTCACAGCTGAAAGTGATGTTAGGGGGCGGAGCCTGGGTGGGGGCGGAGCCTGGGTGGGGGCGGTCACAGGGGCCAGAGCTGGACCGGTGTATTCTTATCCCGGCTCCTCCCTTCTCACTCTGCTCCCTGCTGCCGCGGGCTGAAAAGCATTCTTGTCCCAGACCTTTCTGCCATGCTGCTTGTGCTCTGGGGCCAGCCGGCTGGACTGACCCTCCTGAAACCATAAGCCAGAAGAACCCCTCTGCCACGAAGATTTGCTGTTGGGTGTTTTGCCCCCTGATGGCAGAGTGGGGAGAAATAAAGGAACTCGTGCATGCAAAGCTCTTAGAACAACGGATGTTTTAGTGAATATGTTTTAGCTCCTGTGACTTTAAAAAGCTTATGCACACTTTGGTTGTGAGTTATTTTGTGCCTTATTAGACAACAGATGCACACGTCCATCTAATCTACACTACAGCACCGTGAGAGACTTATTAGCACGGGATTGTTTCACAGAGGGGACAACACGCACACGGAGGATAAGTAACTTGTGCAAAGAAGCACAACCCAGGCGTGACAGAGCTGGGTTTAGAACATAAGTCGCCTGGCTTTGAACTTGCAGCGCTGCACTTCTCTTTGTTATGCAGCTCATCAAAGTAGGGGAAGACAGGGACTGTGCTCCTGCCGAGGGAAGTGCAGCTGGAGAGGCTGGGGGAGCATCCAAACGAGCTGTCCAGTGACGGGGCGCACCCTCAGGTCTGTGTCAGCGCTGCGGCTTCCAGGCGGAAGGCCAAGTGCACAATAGAAGCCACATCTCCGCACTGCCTGGAGCAGTTCAGTCCTGGCCCCGGCTGACAACCCCATCCTTCCTTTTGGCCGACTCTGGCTTCCTGCTGCGAGCTGAGAGATGATAGCTACCTTTCGCACTTTTCCAAATCAACCCACAAAGAGGTCACATCTGGGGTCACACAGGACAATCAACCAATGCCAGAAACACCGTGTTCTGTGGATGACAGTCCTGGCTCCCGGACACATCTGCCCTGTGCCCTGGCTTGCCGCAGTTCATCTTGTTATCACACGCTGCAGAGCTCTCAGGCTGTGCCTGCCCTTTTTAATGGTACTTTACACATACTGACTCGTGATAACCCCGCGGAATGCTCCATTCTCCCTATTTTATACACAGGATAGTTGAGACTCCAGGCTTCTCTGTGGAGCTCTTCCTCTGAAATCTTTTATTTTTATTTTTTTGTTCCTCACTTTGGCTGAAAGCGGTGATCCCAGTGCCCTGGGGCTGGCTTCCCGCGTGGTGACACTGAGAAAGAAAATGGCCGTGAATGCTCTAAGAATGTGGGTTCCTTCTGACCAGGAACAGGCCCTATGGGGCTCCTCGTATGCTGTCCCTGCAGGACACTGCCTAGAGTGTCCCTGGAGAATATCCGCCTCCTGCTTTGTGACAGTTCCTTTCTGGGGTGGCGGGAGAATCTGGAGTGAGATTCCGGGGCCTACAGTCTGCAGCCAGACCACCAGGGTATAATCTCACTACCTACGAGCAGTGTGACCCTGGGTGAGCACTTAACTTCTCAGTGCTTTAATTTCCCTCATCTGTAAAATGGGGATAACAACAATACCCATCTCACAGGAGTTTGGTGAGAACGGAAGGAGATAATAAAGTCAAGTAATCAGAACCGTACCAGGCACGTAGAAAACACTGTCTAACTAACAGTTCACACTGGTGGGTCTTCCCTGCCTCAGAAAAGTTGGCTTCTAGATGGTTTTCAGTCACAAACACTCACCGTCTGCAAAGCGTATCCCCTTTGGAACATTCTCTCTCCTCACTGGCCCAAGCCTCCAGCATCTCCCCCTCCTGTAACCTCATGTGTGGCCTCCCCACTCCTGTCTCGCCCATTTCTTTTCCATGATTACATTTTACAAAGAAAACCGTGATTCCTTCTCCTGTTTAAGACCTTCTGGTGCCTGCTTATCACGTTTAGAATTGTCTGACGCCCCCCCCAGACTGTGATGTCCTCCATGATCTGGCCCCTGTCCCCCTTCCAGCCCTCGTCTGACCCCCTCGGTTATTGCGCACCGGCCATGTCACCGGCAAGCACACCAAGGTCTTTACTGCCCCAGGGCCTTAGCACAAGCCCATCCCTCTGCCTGGAACACGTCTTCTCCATATTCTCACAGGACTGACCTTACCTCTCCATTCAGGTCTCAGCTCGAATGTCCTCTCCTCAGAGAGGCCCTCCCCACCACCCCACGGCAGGATATGATCTGATTTACTCCTGAAGAAGATGCTTCTTACAGCTTTCTGGAGCAATTATGACTTACACAGCTTGTTTCCGCAGTATTTCTACCAAGTCCCACCAGGCACCAGGCACCCCTGTGTGAGCGTACGTGAAATGTAATGCATCTGCTAACTCAAAAGTGAGTGCTAGGAACTCTGTACAAACCCAAGACAAATGTGTCATGTGGCTGCCCGCCAGGGGATCACCACTTGAGCCGGAAGCTTATCTAGCGATTCGCTCACGCTGAAAACATTTCAGAGACCACAGCTTTTCTGTAAGGAGAGATGTTTCTCTCACAAGTGTTAAGAGGTCTAGGTTTGCGTTCTGGCTCCGAGGGTGGGTGTGAAGACCTGGGAGAGGTTGTTTAACCTCTGGGAGTCTCCTTTATCTCAGTGTGGAGAGCGAAAGGCATAAAGCGTGGGAAACACCCAGTGCAGGTTAGACAGCAAATAGCCCTTGTTTCCTGCCTTCCCCCTACCCTATCTGCGCGTTAGCCCTGCTTCCGTTGTTCAAATGCCTTAACTGTGCGTGTTGGCGAGACACACGGCAGCGACCGCGTGCTTGCATTCGGAGCCGGACTCCAGTGCTACATTAGCTTTATTAGCGGAGCAATCTCAGGCAGGCTGCTTGACATGTAGGTGCCTTCATTTCCATACCTGCAAACCCAGAAGAACAATCTATAGTGCTATTGTAAAAATTAAATGGGCTGATTCAGGAGATGCGGTTAGGTCGTTGGCACGTAACAAGTATTTACAAGCTGTCAGGTTTTACATTGATAATTAATTAAGTGCTTGCAGTGAAGCTGTAAGTGCTTATGAGAAACTGTGGGGATACAGCGGCAAGGAAGATAGGCCCAGGGACAAGGACGGCTTAAGCAGACCACGCGAGGATCTGATCGGCGCAAGGCCACAGCCAGGAAAGGGGTACATGCTACACAGTTCCCTGGGGCCAGGGGATGAAGACCTGCCTCACTCTGGCTGACCACAAGCATGGGAGCCACCCCTAGCACGCATGCTCATCCCACCCCCGCCAGCCTCTTCCTGGGCCCCAGGCTCAGCTCTTTATTCAGACGATGTCGTCAGAGTGTCCACAGAGGCAGAAGGCCTGCCCTGGGCCCAGGAGTGCCTCACGCACACAAGCATTGGTCCCACTCATCAGGACTTCGGTGTGGAGAGGTGGGGTGCTGCGGTTTGGTTGTTATCGGCCTACAAGGATTTGTGTGGGCGACTTTGCTTCCAGCGTGGTGATGTTGAGGGGTGGTGGAACCTGTAGGAGGGGAGGTCTGGTGGGAAGTTTCTGAGGTACCGTCCTGGGAAGGAATTGATGTGGTGCTCACATATGGCCTTTGCTCATTCTTGTCCCCCACATCCAGTGCTGGATATGGAACCTCGGGCCTTGGGTGTGCTGAGCAATCTCTTTACCACCAAGCCAGTCCCAGCCCTGTTAGTTCTTAAGAGAACACTGTTATGAAAGAGTAACACTAGCCTGTCCCCAGTCTCCTCCTGGCCTCTGCCTTGCTGTGTGATCTCTCTCCTTCTTACATGTGTTCCCGCCACGATGTGATACAGCCAGTGGAACCCTCACCAGAGCCGGTGGCCTGCTGTTTGGACTTTCAGCCTCCAAAACTGATAGCTAAGTAAGCCTCTTTTCTTCATAAAGTACCAAGCCCCCGGTATTTCATTATAGCAATGGCAATTGGATGGATACAGGGGATTACATGGATTGGCAAACCCATTTCTCTCTCAGATGCAGATGAGAGAGCAGAGGTCTTCCATCATTGGACCAGCAAAAACAGGTGCTTTACTTGTAAGATCAGGGCTGCTGGAGAGTCAACATACCCCATCTTGGAGATGTCACTAATCCCAAGAAGTACAGCCATGAGTCAGAAACGCAAAGGATACAACGAATCACCCACACAGATATCTCCCCTGGCCGCACATTCCCTGCCGCCATTTTGTTATATGTGGGGATCAACACACACAGGAAGGCTTTGGTTGCTCTGATCTCCCGTCTGCCTGCTGGGTACTCTGATGGAGAGGACTTGTGTTCCATTTCTGGCCCCGCGTAGGTGTTAGTGTGTGGTGGGGTGTTGTCTTGGGCTGTGTATCCTGGGGTACACATTCTCATATCTGTTTGCCAGAGGTGTGTTAGTACAGGCCTTTGTGGACAACCCCCGCGATAGGGCTGGTGAGGGAGCAGGGCTGTCATAGGGGCTGAGACATAGTTGTGACAGCAGACGCAGCCAGTCCCAGGGAGACCATGGAGTCGAGATGGCATCTAGAGATACCTTGAACAAGTGCAGGGGAGCTGAGTCTTTGGACTCGGACACGGCCCAGCCATCGAGTGAGGGTGGGTCTGGGGAGAAGCTGTGACCTTGGCTGAGCCAGCCCTCTTGTGCTGAGCTCAATTTCCAAAGAGGGGCTCAGACACGAACAGGCTGCCCCCCCCACCAGCAGACTGAGGGGCCGGGCTTGACTCTACCTCTTTTTAGCTGTGAGACCTTGGGCGAGTCAGCCTCTCGGAGTTTCCCCCAGCTGCAGCACGGAGAGAAGAGAGTGGGCTTTCACAGGGAGATACGGGCTGCATGAGGGGCCTCAAGAGCGGTGGTAGCTTGGGGACTGGCAGTGCTGGGTGAGGTCCATTTGTTGTGCCTGTGATAATGCAAAGGACAGTTAATGCAAGCAGGTGTGCGTGCGTGCATGTGTGTGTGTGTGCGCGCGCGCGCTCGCGCACGCGCGTGCCGGAAGTGGTGGAGTGGAAAGGGGTTAGAGGTAAGGAGGAGAGAGGCCAGGAAGGCTTCCCATAGCTTCAGACGGGTGAGCTTTGAGGAGCTGCGGCACCTGGTTTTGCAGGTAAAGGAATGGGGTGGGGGAGGCGCACATTGAAAGGAAGGAATCACGGATGGCCCTGCGGTTAGAGAAAACCCAAACTGCCAGGTACCCTTGTCAGTACTTTTGGGGTCAGCACTAAGGCTTATTCCTCTCCTTACCCACTACCCCTCTGCCCAGGAAGCTGTAGCTTAGGAGATTCCCGCTTCCAAGACTTCCGTTTGGTTTATCACCTTGCTCAGCACCACTGCTTCTTCTGCCAGAAGGGAGGAAAGAGAAGCCCAGAAGGACGGACAGGCACGTTGAGCTACCAGGAGGCTAAGTATAAGCCCCAGGAGAACACAGAGTCCCAGCGGGCAGTGACGCCAGGGGAAGCCCATGGGCGTGACAATTCTCACTCATGCCCAAGCGCTGTGTCACAGCCAGATGACTGGCACCGGGGACGGGCACCAGGAAAGCTGGTCTGGCTGCTTCTACCAAATGCTCAGGCCCACCAGACTTGGTAAAGGAACCAGTCAGTCCACATGAGTGGAAAAGTCAGTTCTTGTCCCTTTCTTTTAATTTTTAAAAATAAATTTTATATTTTAAAGCAGTTTTAGGCTTGTAGCAAAATTAAGCAGAAGGCACAGAGATTTCCCGTATACCCCTGTCTCGCGCCACATAGCCCGCCCCATAACCTGTATCCCTGCCATCGGGGTGCATTTGCCACAACCGATGAGCCCGCACTGGTGCATAATTAGCACTCAGAGTCCCGGGTTTGCACACAGACCCACCACTGCTGAATCTGACAATGCAGCCTTTGAGAACTGCATTTCTCGGATCCCCCAGAAAGCATGTGCATGGAGATTACTTGCTAAAAGTCATTAGTTCACTGACCAATTCATTTATTCCACAGACACTGATTGAGGATCTGTACTTGCCAGGCATTGTTCTAGCCGCAGGCCCGCGGAGGCAAGACTAAATCCTGCTCTTATCATTCCTTGTGAAGGTCCTGCTCAGTCCGTTATCCAGGACACTGAGAACCTGGAAGCAATTTCCCTGGGATCCTCCACCCAGGGACCCCAGGGTGAGCCCTCAGGGGGCATGGGGAGGGCTTCCAGAGGGCAGATCAGGCGCCTTTTTATCATCGGAGCTGCAGTTGCACAGGTGTGCTCTGTTTGTGAAATTTCACTGAGTTGTGTGCTCGTGGTGTATGCATTTCTCTGTGTGCACCTTACACTTTCAAATAAAGCTAAGCATATGTAAAAGCTCTGAGAGTTAACAGGGTGTTAATACGCTTCCCCAGATGCCATTTTACAAACCACACTGTCTTTTCGTGTAAGAAAGTTCAAAAAGATTCACATTTTTTCAAGACGACTACCTTGACAAGTTTTTGAAAACTCAAGTCTCATTTTTAAAAAGCCAATGTTCTCTCTCCGCTCCTTGCTACATGCTGTCCCACAAGGCATGTGCTTAGTTTGCTTATTAACCCAAGCTTGCTGATAAATACAACCTGCAAGGTCCTTGTATTCCTGGAACTGAGGTTGTAGTAAAGGGAAACAGCTCTTCCACAAGCAAAGAAGATCCCACAGCAAGTCTACTGCAGAGAGCAAAGCATACTAACAGAGGGGTCAACACGGGGCAATGGGACAGAGGCGGGCAGAACTCAAAAGGAAATTTCCATTGACATGGAGTCCTAAGTGATGAGAAGAAGCCAACCACGAGAACAGCTTTCTAGGTTGCAGGATGCAAGATGAGGGACCTCAGGGTTTCCTAGCATGTGAAGAAAAGGTTGGGGTAGCTGGAGTAGAGGAACCAAGGGAAATGGTAGAAATTAAGCCAGAAAGTTGAGCAAGGAACAGAGAAAAGCCCAGCAGTTGTTTTAACTGCAGTTGCAGCTTACAACTACCAGGGGAGCTTTTTAAAAATAACCAATGTCTGGAACCCATCATGTCAGGATAAAGTCCAAGTGTGGGTGTGTTTTAAAAATCTCCAGGGCATGCAATATGCAGCCAGCATGGAGGACCGCTGGTGCGAAGGCCAGAAGTCAGGGTTTCTTAAAATGTATGTGCATCCATTTCGCCAGGGACCTTGTGAAACTGTGGGTCCTCAGTCAGTCATCTGGATCCAGGAGTAGCTTTTCTTACAAGTTCCCAAGGGATGCCGATGCTCCTGGTCCAAGGACTGCACTTAAGCAAGGTTTTTGATGGTGATAAGAAAGCTTATTTTTACAGACCCATAGGAAGTCACTGGAGAATAATAAGCAGAAGGATAGCATGAGCTTAGGGATGTTTCCAAATGCTTGCTGAGGTTAGAATGTGGACAAATGGATTGGAGGAGGAAAAGAACCAAGCCAGAAGATAAATGGTGCAGAATAAGAAGGAGGGTTGATGGGAAACCTTCTAGAGTCGAGTGCCCAAACCACAACCCCAAATCATTTATTTATCACAAAGTACCAACACTGCAGTGAAACCTGAATACTGAGGTTTCAGTTAGAAAAAACAATTCATACATTAACATCTTTTGTCTTAAAAGAAAAGCAACATGTGCACCATAGCTTCACCACCACTGCCCTAAAGGTTCTGTAAATTGGGCAAGAGGAAGAGATTAGAAATGTACAGTGTGTAGCCGTTGATCTAGACCCCTTATGACGTCATCTCACTAGATTTTTTAGAGCTATCTCAAGAATAACTCACCCAAGGAACAGCTCCCAAATCCAGACCACAGAGCTCTCCAGCAGCAGACAAGAGGTACAAACATGGGAGGTGCAGATGACCAGAGGTATATACAGTTGTTGAATATAAGAAGATTATCATTAACGTCTCCACTCCTTTGTGGTCAGCTAAGAGTAGTCTCTTGGGCAAGAGAATCCAGGATGCACGCCAAGAGGAAGAATGAATTGTGGCTTTCGTTTGGAGGCCTGATTCTGCCAGATGGATAGTAACCCCCCACTTCCATTCCCTGCCTTGCACGGTGCCTTCAAACCAATCCTTATAGTCCTGAGAAAAAGAGTCCTAAGTCAGAAAAGTAAATGAAACAGGGAAACCCTCAGAGGAGGAGGAAGTGCCCTCTGGGTAGGCTGAGGACCCTCCCTGCCCGCACACCCTCCGTGACCTTCGGGCTGTGGAACAGCCCTCTTCTCCCTACACTGCACAGATTATTTTGCATCTGCTTGTTTAGCAAATTCCAGGATTAATCCCTCGACCTCTGGAGAATCTAGATTCCAGCTTGTCAGGAAACTTGCCAAGCCAGGAAAGAAAGAAAGGTGAACATTTTTGCAGGACCAAATGGCCCACCGTTACATTTTTCTAGTAAGTAGGGCTCCTCTTTCTATTAAAAACGTGTTCATAGATCTCCACATAACTGAATTACTATTCTTTTTCTATCAACAAGACAGTAACTGTCTCAGGATTCCAAACTGCTGGTCCTGCCAGAGGACTTGTTTTTGTTGACTCTTGCAGCGTTTGGGGGAAGAGTGGCAATCCTACCTGCAGTGGCCAGCTTTCCTGAGTCTGGGACACAATATCCAGCACTCACAACTTAAAGGAGGAGAGTTTTCGTTTGGATCGTGGTTCAGGGGATCCAGTCCATGGTAGGTTGGCACCAAGGTGGGAACATCATGGTGGAAGGACATGGAGGACAGCTGTTCACTGCATGTAAGCCCAGAAGCAGAGAGAGAAGGGAGGAGCAGGGGACAAAGACACACCTCCCAAAGTCCCACCCCCAGGGATACGCTTCTTCCAACCAAGCTCTACCTCCTAATGGCACATTAAAGCTGTGAACTAATCAGTGGATCAATCCACTGATAGGTACAGCATCTCCATGACCCGATCACTCTCCAGAAGCCCTGTTCTTGAAGACACAGGGCTTTTGGGAAACATTCTATATCTGAACCGTAACAATAGTCAATGTCTAAAAACTGTAGGTGTTCACACAAAAATATAGATTCCTTGCTTCTTCCAAAAATTCAGAAGACCTAGTGACAATGGACCCACATGACGGTAACAGGTCCTGTGATTTCCTGTTTGTCATAGCCCTTGCTCAGCCCTGCCTCTACGTGGCCCTCCTAGTCTCAGTAGGCTTCTGAGGTTAAGAACCTATATATAGATAGGCTCAAGAGATCATTGTTTTCCCCAGGAAGTCCATGACCCATAAGTTGAGAACCAAAGACCAATTCTTTGGTCTTTGGATGTAAAGGCAGTTTGGAAGCAGTTCAGATGAAAAACCTTAGTCATGGCTCAAAGAAGACTCTACAAAGTGTGGAACAAACAGAAATATCTGCAGCTTTCCACCTGGCGCTCTGTGATATTAATGGTCTCTGGTTTTCAAAGGGGGTGAGTGTTACACACAGTACTTTCAGGTTTTGATCTCTTGAAGCAAAAAGGACTCCAAGTTCCATGAGAAATGCTACCCTAGGACACATCATTCTATCTTGTGAGAGTGTGGGTGTGCTTGCGCGCGTGTGCATATGTGCATGTGTGTGTATAGCTCACTTAATTAGAACCTATTGGCAGCAAACAGGTTCAGGGAATATCTTCCTTCCCCTACCAAAGCTCATGAGAGGCCATATGGTCATATAAACCCCAAACAATTAAGACGCAGCTATCTTCAGAGTGGGGGAAGGCTCAATGAACTACGCGACACTAGATTTGGTTTTTCTCCGGTACCGGGAACCGAACTCACGACCTTGCGCTTGCCAGGCAGGCGCTTTTGCCGCTGAGCTAAATCCCCAGCCCCTATGACACTAGATTTGGATAGCAGATATCAGTATGTTCTGGCTAGTTAAGATAAACACAGACGGACAAATGTAAAACTCTTATAAATATGTTGCTATGCACAGGTTATTACACATATGTGCGTGGCCGAAGCTCTGTCCTTTGAGGGGATTTAGAAGTCCAGGGACAGTGGGCACACCCAGCACCCAGATCTTAGTTTCTAACACCATCTCCAGTCAGGGTCACCAGGGACCCTTGGAGAAATGGTTTCTGCAGGGCCTCGGGCAAGGAATATAAGCCTGAGGAATCTTCTAGTGCCAGAAGAAAAGAGGGAACTGTTCAAAACACAAACCGGCGGAGACATTCAGTGCCGCATGGAGCCCGCTGAGGGTGCTCCCGGTGCCAGAGGTGGGACGGTGTGAGCAACAAAATAAATAACGTAGTAATGGACTGTAACAAAAAGCATGAGACCAGTATGTGTGCACCCGTGCCGACGTGAATGACTGAATGAATGGCTCCATGAGGAGGAACAGGAAACAGGGCAGAATGCCCAATAACTTGTGTAGCGCCGCCTCCTCCAGGAGATGGGGTCTAATTCCCCACCACTTCCATGTGGGCTGTGCACCTTCCAAAGTGCACCGTGCGGAAGAGGGAATAAAAGAGAGTGACTTTGCCATGAGCACCCTCACAAGCACTACTTTGGTTTGGCATCAGGGCACACATTATCAGTGATAAATTGTGCTCCTAGGACGTACTCTCGAAATGATGTGATGAGGGCATTTTATCCTCTGGCCTTCCTCCCCTACACCCAGAGCCCCTCGTTTAATCATGAGAAAAGCCCTAGTCAAAGACACGTTAAGTGACGTGCTACAGAATGCCTGGCCAGTGCTTCTGAAAACTGTCAAGGTCATCACGCACGAGGGAAGTTTGAGGAACCATTAGCAGTGATGACGAGCAAGGTTTTCAGAGCGTTCAGTGATAACAAACAGCTGACTACGGCACTCAAGCTATAGCTTCACCACCAGTGGCCTAGAGGAACCCCAGGAGAAGCAGTGACTAAGCATAATATACACCTAGAAGAGAAAAAGGGTGTTAGTGAAAATTATGGGCATCAGAAAAAAACCCATGGAACTTAGTGAATAATAACGCATCACTATTAATTCATTAGTTAGGACAAATTTATCATATTAATATGAAATCTTAACAAGAAATAATATGGCCAGGAAATCTCTGTACTATTTTTGCAGTTTTTCTGTAAGCCTAAATCCATTCTAAAGTAAAAGATTTACCGAAAGATATGATAATTTTTTGACTCAGTAATTTCAGTTGTAGAATTCCAACATAAGGAAATGGTGAATGTGTGCAAGGATTTATTTACACACACAAGGTGAATGTGTGTCCATTGTTCTTAATTGTAAGCAGACTAAATACCCCCGAATTTGTGTTTAACTAGTAAATTATGGTGTATCCTGTACTGAAATACTGTCATCAGATGGTCCACTGAAATATTTGTTGTAGGAAAGATGGTCATTATGTTTTAGTAATAGAAAAGTACACCACAAAAAAGTACAATGTAATCCCATTTTGATTAAAGTAAAGGGTAGCTACACAGAGTATAAAATGTAAATATATATACTTTGTAGGGGTTTTTTGGACTAAGAGAATATAGGGATAATTATTACTTGTTATTTTTAAACTTTCTTATTTTCTAAGTTTTTAAAAAAATTAATGAGAAATTTTATTTATTATTTTACTTTTTGGCTTTTTGAGACAATGTCTTGCTATGTATCCTCGAACTCATGGCAATCCTCCTGCCTCAGCCTCCCAAGTGCAGGGACTACCAGCGTGTGCCACTATGCATGGCTTCTAAGTTTTCTCTAGTGAAGAACACATTGCTTCTGCAGTAAGAAAGAAAAGCAACCACATGGTAGAGAGGTTCCAGACCCTTGTAAAAATCTATCCACACCCCTGCCTCACACACAAACACCAGGCTTCACCTGGTGCCTCCTTTCTTAGGTGACTCTTAGAGGTCTCAGTTTCAGAGGCTGCAGAAGATCAGTGCTAAGCTGCTGCAGTTGTAGCCAGAAAGAGATTGTACATTTGCCCAGGCTGCTTGGTCTGTAGGACACTCTGACCTCCTCAGTGAGTGAGTAGCTGCAAGAATGGGCGGATGGATGGTTAGATAAACAAGGGCTGGAAATCAGTGGTTTGGGGCGATGGGTGGATGGATGGTTGGATAAACGAGGGCTGGAAATCAGTGGTTTGGGGCGATGGGTGGATGGATGGTTGGATAAACGAGGGCTGGAAATCAGTGGTTTGGGGCAATGGGTAGATGGATGGTTGTGTGAATGGATGGCTGGCTGGAAGTGGATGAGTACACGGGTGGCGGGTGGTGGTCACAGTGGCTGGATGGAAGTGAGTGAGTAGAGGGATGGACGGACAGATGGGTGGGGGAACCCGCTGCTGCTCAGCCTGCACTGTGCCCTCTCTTCCTGGCAGTCTTTAACGGGAGCCTTGGGCCGTGGTTCCTGGAGGCCCTGCTCTCCAGTTTTTCCCTCATTGCTCATTAGCGTCCTCGAGAAGCTTCAAGACAAGCTGTTGCCCAGGAACCCGGAGTAAGTGGGCGTGGAGGAGCGCGGCAGATCACAGCACTTTTAGGCGCTCCTGCGGTTTGTGCAGCTAGGACCGAGGACCATGGCTCCTGGCTGTGCTCTCAGCTCTGTCGCTGTTGGAGAGACGGGCGCAGGTCAGCACCGCTCACAGAGCCTGGATGACGGTCACGCTCGGAAGAAACGACGAGGCCCATTCCAACCCGGGCGTCGCTCGCTCTGCACTTCTGTGACTCGCAGAGGCACTCAGCAGCTCCCCTCTCCTTGATGATATTTTGAGCATCATTGTTTCATAATAGGAAGTTAATTTAATTATCCAGAATGTGGAACTGTCATGTACACCCGAGGAGGGGGAGGGTTAATTCTTGGACAACTACACTCAAGGTGAGAGTCAGAGACAGACAGGAGAGA